CGGTCCGGCCCACCCGCCGTAACTCCGACCCGCACTGGCTCCGTCCGCCACTGCTCCGCACGCCGCCGCCGCCCCGCAGCTTCGCCCCGCCCGGCTCCGTCCGCCACCGCCCCTCAACTCCGCCCCGCCCGGCTCCGTTCGCCACCACCCCGGTCGCACGCCGCCGCCGCTCCACCGCTCTCACCACTCTCCGATGGCGCCGAAGAAGACATCGAAGGGCAAGTTGGGCTTCTTCGGCGTGAGGCAGAAGCCCTCCGATAACTTCGGAGTGTAGTTCTCTGACGCCGGGAGGCGTTGGTGGATCGGCACGTACCCCTCCGCCCATGAGGTCGCGCGTGCCTACGATGTGGCGGTGTGGCGTTCCGAGAGGCCTCGGGAGCATCTCAACTTCACAGAGATCGAGAGTCGGGCGAAAGCGGAGATGCTTGTGGCGTAGGGCATCAAGATGAAGGAGATCCCGACGAAGAAGAAGACGACGAAGAAGCCATCGGTTGTCATCAGTGCCGGCGAGACCGGCGAGGAGGCGATGGTGAGGTTTGCTCGGGAGCATCCGGAGTACGTCCAGGCCGAGCTGGACTACTACTGAAAGTATGAGGCGGAGCAGAAGAAGAAGGGGGCAAATAAGGAGGACGAGGCCGGTCCCTCGACGGTGATCCCCATCAAGTCCTCTTCCGAGGAGGACTGGGCAAACTTCTCGAAGGAGGAGGGAGGGGTGCGACGACCCAGAGAAGGAGGAGTTCTGGGCCAGTTCCGTAGCTCCGACGATGAGGAGTAGTTTATCTAGTAGTTTGAATAAGTAGTAGTTGAAGTTCATGTATGAAGCTATGTTGAATTTGATGTTTGAACTATGTTAAATGGACTAGTAGTTTGTCGTTTTAAGAAATTTACATCTTTATTTTGGGCCATCTATTGGAGTTGCTCTTTTGGACCATCTATTTGGACCATCTATTGGAGTTGAGCTTTTTTTGAAGCTCCAAAACGTACTTTTTGGCGGTCCAAATTTTAGATCTCCGGTTTTGGACCGCCAAATTTTGGACCATCTATTGGAGATGCTCTAAATTTGCACCGTGAGGTGTTGTATTTTACATCATGAGAAGGTCGCGGTCTAATTTTTTTTTACATATGGACCGTCTGTTGGAGCTGCGTTTTTGGTCTCAGGCGGTCAAAAGTTAGTTACTTTTACATTTGGACCATCTATTAGAGAAACTCTTAATCCATTGCTAAGGGCATCTCTACCGATTCCCTATCCCAATAAAGTGTTAGAGAAGGAAAATCGGGGTTTCCTTCGCACACACAAAAAAAACTAATTGAACCCCTAACACCGTTAGTGGAGGAAACAATTTACTCCACAACGACCGTGACTCTTAAATATACTCAGCCAACGGGCCTTGGAGTAAAAATTTCCCACCCCATTTTGCCTCCTCTTCCACCCCCGTCATCGTCCAATCCCCACCGGCGCACACCCACCCTCAACCACACCCACTCCGCTCCATACCCTAGAGGCGTCGGCCTCCTCCCACCCCCATATGCCGCACAACGACATGTGGCCCTGGACATCCCGGATGAATAACATGAGCAACTGAGATTTAGGCCAAGGCGGTGCAAATGTCGTCTGGTCGATGACGCACGCGGGTGGGGGGGGGGGGGCACCGGACCTCGACACCCTTAATAGTAAGGCAACACCGCAACTATTTTGTACGACATGCTGAAGGTACCCTCAAACGCCAACACGCCAGGGTGAGGAAGGGTAGACAAACGCCCCACGGCTGCGCCCTGAGCGCCACTATTTCCTCTTTCTCTGAATTTGCGTCGCAATGATACGATGACACGCGATCCAAAACACCATGGACAAACGGCACGAGTAACCAATATATAGGTCAAGGCAATAAAATGGCCCACATCAAACGCACATCTCAAGCATGGAAAACTCCATTTTTAGGGCGCTTATAAGTTCATGATATTTGGCACCTGTGGGGTGACTCCACTTCTGAAAAATGCAAAATTTGGGCGAAGCATGGTAGTGGAGACTTGGTAACCAAATCAAACTTCACGATTCATTTGCCATTCTTGTAGCACTAATTAGATGTCGGATCACATTTCTCAGATGTTTGGGCTATAGGGGCATCTATGGTAGACATCCCGAGTCATGTGGAGTCGCGACGGAATTCAGAAATATCCAGACATACATTTGATGGTACAATCTTTTGGAATTACTAATCTTGATACATTAACTAAGTTTAGCATAAACCGAAGAAATAGTTTTCCCTTAGAAAGCTATGGTAATAGGCATGCGAATGGATCTTTGTTGTTGAGCTTTATGACCCAACTTAAATATCAAAATATCAATAGTTGTTTTGTTTTCAAATATTTGAACTATGATATTTCAAAAGCTAAAACATTTCATATTATTAAATTCAAAACTCTGAATTTAGTTTTGTTTAACTATAAAATTCCAAATGTAAATATTTGAAAACATGATTTCACTTTGATATCTAATAGTGGAACTTCAAATTCCAATAATTTTTTAAAACTTTTAAATGCATAATAGCTTATATAAAAAATTATAACTTTGATTATGTAATACTCTCTCAGTTCGAAAAAAAGTGACTCAAGTTTGTACTAATTTGAGTCACTTATTTTGAGACAGAGGGAATACAAAATTGTGGGTTTGTAACCACTCCTCAAATTCTCTTTGTCAAATCAAATGGTTGTTGCGAAAAACAACCTGTTGTAATCCTAGATGGAATTATATGATCAAGGTGGAATTGAGATTACCAATAGTATCTCCCAATGCTGCCTATGAGCATCTTCAAAATCAAAAGGAAAAAAATACCCTCAAAAAAGGCCAAAAATGCTGCCTAGGAAAGCAAATGGCACTCTTCCCGTCCGGCCCTTCTGTATCTTACGAAATAGCAGAGCAGGACTCTTCCCGCGAGCCTTTATAAGAGGCAAAGGGCAGATGGAGGCCGGAGCAGAGCGCCACGAGTCAAGCAGAGAAGTGCGAGCTCCTCCCTCACCTCCGACCCACGCCACGCCGCCGCCGCCAATAACGACCAACTCACGTGCCCTATCCTTCTCCCCCCTTTTGTTCGTCTCCTCCTAAACCGCCGCCAGCATGGACGCCAAGAAGAGGTCGCCGCCCACCCCCGCGGCCGCCGGAGCCGCGCCGCCCGCGGCCAACGGGTACTTCAGCTCGGTCTTCTCCGCGTCGCCGTCGCCTGCGGTACCGTTTCTTCCCGCCGCCTGCTTTTACGATCTGTTAGTCGTGAATTTGGGGACGTGATTCGGCGATTTTGATGTCTCGTTGTCTCCTGCCCGATTCTTTTTCCTCTTGAGTTCGTTACGCGGTTACTAATTTTGGGGCAGGTTTCGTGATCGGCGGGTTCTGTATGTTTTTTTGTTGTGATATCTGTTTGGGAGTACCTCTGATGACGCTGCTGCTTTTGTTTGACCTGAAAGGCAAATCCAAGAGACGCCAGGCAGATGGACCTGTACACGATACTGAACAAGCAGAACCCCAAAGGGCAGAGTGGCGGGGGCATTGCAGGTAGTTGTGGGATATCCTGTCTACCCCCTGCATTGCTGGGCATATAATGTCAAATTTGTGAACACCGTGTAAGAAAAGGAGCTATTCTAAAGCATTAGTTGTATGAGTTCTTCTACTACTGATGTTGATAGTCATCTTAGCTTGACTGGGAATTTGGGCAATTGATTGATATGTGATACATCAGTGAACTAACTGTGTAATTTTCAATTTGTATTCCAGATGCCAAATCCCAAGGCAGCCCTACCATAGGTCGTGTTGCTTACAAAGATGGAAAACAGTTTTATCCAAACGAGTCCTCGGAGTCACCTTACTTTGGCTCGTCTGTGCATTACGGTGGCCGGGACTTCTATGACAGCTCTCCACACAAGCAAGCCGATGAGTCATCCAGAAATGTACACTGAAACTGCATTGCAAATAATCAATCCCCTAGTTGATTATATTACTAATGTTTGAATGTTTCCAATATGTCCAATCCAGTATAAGGAGGATAATGCGGATGGCTCCCTGGCTACCAGAGGTGATTGGTGGCAAGGTATGGCATTTACTGCCCATTTGGATATTATCTAGAAATGATGAAACGCATACGTACTGACTATAATTTTCTGTCAGGTTCACTTTACTACTAAAAACACTTTGCAATGGACTCTCCTACTGTGAACAAGGTGCATATTTATAATCCCCCTGTTTTATTGTTTGATTTGTCTCAGTTTTGTGCCCTTATGTTGCTTGTGCTATGTCTGCAGCATTTCTTTTCTAGTTTGAACAGTGGTAGGTTAACAACAGTATCTGAAAGTGTAGTTACTTAGTCGTCAGTGTTTTGACAGAGTTAAGTTAAAACTGTTTTTCTCTGGGAGAACAGCTCACAAGGATGTTCTGCGTTTGTCACAAAATACTCCATCCGTCCCAAAATAAGTGTCTCAACTTTGTACTAAGCTTGAGACACTTGTTTTAGGACAGAGGGAGTGGGTGTAACAGAGAGCTGATTGTTTAGTCTTAGTCTTTTGTACAAGGTACACGAACTATGTATTATATAACATGAGAAGCTGCAATCAACTAAGGCTCATTCAGTTTTGTAATCTATGGGTGGACTGCCCTTAGTCGTAACCTCCAACCCACTCTTGATCTCCTCTCGTTTCCTAGTACACACACATAATATGATTCATGGATATTATTATTTTTCTTTGTGTCGTTATCACAGTTTTGGTGTCTAATTAGGTCCTGAAATCTGCACAAGATTTACTTGTTAGTTGTCACATCTGTGCGCACTGATTGCAGAGCAGTAGTGGTTGACATTGACAGCTCTCAGAGAAAAAATGATTGACTGTCCTGAATTGAAAGTCCAGTTAATCAGTAATTTACCTAACAGCCTTGTAACGACTGGCATCAACATCATTGTAGTGATGTGACCTATTATCCCGTCATGAGTGTTATCATATATTTGAGGTGTCATGTATTATGTGTTAATCTTTTGATAACCTTGTTATTAATATTGCTCCTACGTTTTGGCAATTTATCTCATGTTCATCATGACATGAATTTACTGTTTGTTGAGAGCTGGCAATGGTTAATCCTCAGTGCATTTCTAAGTTCACTTAACATGGCAACCGGTTGGCATTATATTATTTAGTTAATCCCCGAGTCTTTCACATAGGCCTCAATTAGTCTAGTATCTGGTTGTTTTCTACATAGGTCTCACCAAATACAAGTTTTTCAGATTTCCATTGCCGGAAAATAGAGACCAAAAGTTGTTGCAGTTGTTTTACTTGTAAATGCATTCTTGTCTGTAGGAAGCTGTGCTAATACACATGCAACCTCTGTTACTCGTAGCTTGTTATGATTGTCCAGCTGAAACCTGTGTTGCTTTTAATGCATTATCATCGGCCTCATCCTTTACTAACATCGAATTAATTTGGTGGTTTTTCACAGGAATAAAAAGGAGTACGTCGAGCTGGTAGGCTGTAGAGTTGACATGAGTCATCAGGCATAAGAAAAGTCATAGTGGAACTACATCTGTTCTGTCGGTGGTGGCAGTATTTAGATGCATCACTCACCTAGGCAGATGTAGACGTACTATGTGTATCTTTTCTTTGCCTTACTAGATTTGAGTGATGAAATGTAATGGGACTGGCAGGGCAGCAGCAGGTAGGTCCTACAAAAAGTTGCTGCTATTTTGCAACTGACGAGATCACTTGCTGTATGCGTTATGTATCCTGGTTCGTGGTTGTGTTTTGGTAATATTTGGATTTGCACATCTGTTTCGGTCTACCATTTGTTTGCTGAGAGAACCATGGTATGAACTTGTGACAGTTATTTATAACCTGGTGCATTTCTTAAGCTTTTAGCCTCCTTCACACGGCACCCAGTTGGCATTCTACTACTATGTTCTTTCCTGTTTATATGGCTTGTATTCCTAGATTGTCAATTTAGTCAATGAAATAAAAGTTATATGCAGAAAAAGATATTAAACTGCCAAAACGTCTTACATTTGTGAACAGAGGGAAAGGGGGTACCATTGAATTCATATATGAGTTATGTGCCAAAAGAAAAGTATCTTGTTAATCCTAGGCATTCTTGTATTCATAGGGAAAGGGGGTACCATTGAATTCATATATGAGTTATGTGCCAAAAGAAAAGTATCTTGTTAATCCTAGGCATTCTTGTATTCATAAATTATACGTACGTGTTTTTAGTTTTTGTCTCATATTATTAATATTCACGTTTCAGTTATTCTGAAATGTATTGCAACCAACGCGTAGGATGTCATCTAGTTGTGTATATGTGATGGGGCATTCCCTTGCCCGCCATAGTTTAAAAAACCAAACTGATGATTGAACTGTTCATGTTATGACTGGTTGGAATAATACAGTATATATTAACTATATAATATATGGTAATGTAAGTACTATTTTATTTGCCTCAAAAGATAGTAGTACTAATAAATGGTCAAATATAAACGTTTGTCAACAAGGGGGCCCAGCTAAGCTGAGGACAGCTCTGGGCTACTACTCTCAATACTCCTGAATTTCTGAGTATTGAGAGTAGTAGCTCAGGGAGAGCGTAGCCAGCGCCCACACACACGTCCCTCGTCGTGGACCGGCCCAACATAGGAGGCAAGCAGCTCCCTCGGGGGTGCCGGTTTTTCAAAAACAAATATGGATTTTAAAAAGTTCACCAAATTAAAAAATGCTCACAAACTCAGAAAAAGTTCGTCAATTTTGCAAATTAAAATATTAGAATTTGGGAAAATTCATAGATTTTTTTAAAAAAAAATCATGGATTTGAAAAAAGACATCGGTCTTGAAAAAAAGTTCAAAATTTTGAAATAGGTTCATCAATTTTGAGAAGAAGGTTCATTAAATAAAAAAATCAGGGATTTTCAAGCAAATAATAATGAATTCAAAAATATTCATGAATTACCACAAAAATGTGCTTTCCAAAAAAATTATGTATTAAAAAATCACGTGATTTTGGAAAAAATATATGCGGATTTCAAAAGAAAGTTCATCAATTTGAAATAAATTCATGAATTTGAAAAAAGTTCTCAGATTTAAAGAAAAAATGCGGATTTGGAAAGGTTCATCAATTTTTAAAAAGAGATATTGGATTTTAAAAATGTCCCTAGATTTTTTTTAAAAATCACTAATTTTGTGGGGAATAAAGAAAAAATAAAAGGAAATACAAACAAAAAAGGAACAAAAAATAGAAGACAATGAAAAAAGAAAAGAAAAATAAAAACCGAACAAAAACGGTCCAGAAAAACCTAAACAAGAAAAAGAAGAAAAACCCAACCGGAAGCTTCAAGAAGCTTCCGAAAACCGGTTGGGAGAAGCTTCTGGAAGCTTCCCAAAACCAGGAATAACTCTCTGTTGCAGCCTTATATTGGCCGGCCTGTTAGAATCGAAGGAAAGGAGGGGTGTGTGCACCTGTTTGCAGGATAGCTTGTAACGGGAGCTTAAGGCTTTGAATAGACGTTGGGTGAATTTCTTGCAGAACCGTCGGTTCTAGTTTTTTCCGGCCTAACTGTCGGTTCGGTCGGGACACTTAATACGGTAGCTTGGCATGAAATTATTAGAACATCTCATATAAAGAGTTGCATACATTACCTCTAGGCTAGTGAAGTGGCGATTGTAGATGAAAGATAGAGGGTGGGACACCTTACTAAGTTGGTAAACTTTTCTTATGTCAATACATTTTTTTGCTTCACACAATGTTATCCATCCCACTACAAAAACAATGTTATTCAAAGTTTCGAACATATAGGTCTACCTCCACAACTTACAAAAACCTTGTATTTTAAAGTTTTGAAAAACATATAATATCCCAATCTTATCTTAGAGAATAAATGGTGTATAATTGTAAAATTTTCATGTTTTTTAAACGGCATTTGTATGATAGTAGTTTGTTGCATAACTTAATTTATGATTATCTACACAATTAGACATAATAATTTTGTTTTACAAAATCAATAAGTAGCACTTTATCCCTTCTCTGTGTACTATGTATATTAATTTGATTCAAATAAGTACTCATTGCCAAAAATTGTTATGTATAACATTTATTTAAAAATAATCATTTTAAAATAGATAATAGAAAATGAATTTTCTAGTCTACGTAGAAATAAAAAAATGGTGCCCGTCCCTGCTATGTATAATCGGTCAATAATCCTCTACTTGCTCAACTGGGCCATTTGACAAATTACTCTCCCCTAACTAAGATTTGGGTATCATGTCCTTCGGAACACTTCTTACTCCAAGTCCTATTCCTAGAGTTACAAATGCTAATGTATAAGATCTATGGTTAAAATTGTCATGCATAAACGATCATTATTTTTTTGGAAAAAATTGAGTGTATGCTAGAGCCCATCGAAGCCTACGTAGTAGAATCTCCCATAGACATGTGACGAATTAAAATACTAATATTGGTACTAAATTTTTTTATTTTTATCATCTTATAATCAAAATAAATTCATTTTAAAATAATTTGTTTTGCATAATTAGCAACATACAAATGTTGCTAAATATTAATTGTCTCATTCTTTGTGATGCATTTCCAATTGTTATCGAAAAAATACAATTTACATTGTGGTAAATTTAAATTTTATTTCATAAGAGAACGCATGTTAGTTTTTCTTTTTCAAGACATTGCCAGAATCACTCTTTAGACCTGAACTCAGTAAATGTGAGAAAAAAAATGACACACATTATTTTCTTACACTTGCATGAATTGTATTGTATATATGTTTATTTCTAAGTTCCTGTATATATTACAAACCTTATTATCTTTGTAGAGGCTTCTAGTGTAGGATTGCGTATAAGCAAATAGAAATTCTAGAATATATGACATGTTAATGTTGTGAGGAGGCTAAAATCAAATTATTGGCATGTTGCTTTATTAGGTTTTTTGTTGCCATATGTCTTTCACATGTTCTAGTGGGTTCGTTCGTTGACTATACTTGGTAACTAAATAGTATCATTTATAGTAAGCATAGACAAACATCAAAATGCCTCTGACTCAGTAGTAAGTTTGCACATATGTATATGATTTGATTACCTTATGTGCTCACCGCAATGTATGGGGTATCAAATAGCATATACAAGTGGTCATGCCACTTTCCCAAATGAAGAATCACCTTGATTCCCGTAAAAAGGAATTATCTT